ATTGGCCCAATGGATGTGATTTTCCAATATTATTATGCGTTCAAACTTTTAAGGTATTTCGTCTGAAATAAGTATATGTATATTGCATTTCTGTAGAACAATGATTCGCACCCATTTTGAAATTGCCACCAACTATACTGTAAAGCTTCTAGGACATTCACTATAGAACCGGGGCATTGTTGCCGCCAGGGAGTGAAGAGGAAAAAATGTATTTCGCTTTGCGAATAACCGTGCTATGAAATGCCGCACAACTGAAGAATTTCAAGAAATTCTTCACGGATTTAACACTTTCCTAAGGTTATTTAAAGCGGCAAATGACCACCAAATCACAATCTTAGCTGACGAATGTGCCAATGAAAATCGTAAACGTGAATTGTTGGTGAAAATGTTGGACCAAAAAGTTTCAATAAAGTAAGTAAAAATTTTGGGCGGGGCGAAGTTCGCCGGGTCTGCTAGTAAGCAAATAAAGAGCAAGAGCCACTGTTAGCATAAACCAAAACCTTGGTTGAAATATCTAATATATCTGACCCACGAACCAAAACCAAACCAAAATTTAAATTTATCGATTCGAGAAATTAATGCGCTGATGAGGAAAGGAAAACTCGTATAGCGAGGCGAAAAAGTGGCCGGTAATCTAAAGGTTAGATGAGAAACCGATCCTAAGTCAGAAAACCAATTTTCATTTCCCAATGTTCCGATCTCAATTTGCGTATGTGTATATAAAAAGAATAAAATAAAAAAACAACATAATAAAAAAGAATGTCCAGTGTATATGTATTTTAAAAAGTAAAAAGAGACGAACTTTGCTAAGCAAAGAGCCGCGTTTGCCCACCGTTGAAATATACCTATATATGCATTTAAGGCAAAATATGTAAGAATATGCACTAACAAATCAATGCCTTCTTAACACAAAAAAATAAGATTATAATATCGACTACTGAGTGGAAGATCAACCTATCCCGGCAGCCACTTCGAAAATGCCCTATCTAAAAAAACTTTTCAAAAACGTCCTATTTCAGAATTTGGTTAAAGAACGTCCTATATCAGAATTCGTTTCAAAAACGGCCTATCTCAGCTGCCGATTCAAAAACGCCCTATATCAGTACATTTTCAATACATTTTTAAGTGAGATATGACATTTTTGAATGCAATTCTGAAATAGGGCGTTCTTCAACCAAATTCTGAGATAGAGTGTTTTTCGATCAAATTCTGAAATAGAGCGTTCTTGAAAACTTTTTTGAGATAGGGCGTTTTCGAACTGGCTGCTGAAATAGGTCGATCTTACACTAAGCAGTCGATATAATAACTTAACCTTTGTTCATAGCAAAAATTCGCCAAAAATTAAATAGGTGTCTGCACTGAATTCCATTAAAAAACCAGGAAAATTTAAGTGTGGACCAGGACACCAGGACAATTTGTCTAAGCCAGGACAAATCCTGGAAACCAGGACGTCTGGCAGCCTTACTGTAGAACAAAATTCTCTAGTTTTCGAGCATTTTGGCGTTGCCATTCGAAGTAGTTGGTACGAAATTTGGATAAGCTGCATTCAAAAGGAACAAAACGAGATTCGAACATCTAACGAAAGCTATTCGAAAGTTTTGTTTCAGAGTATCAAAACCAGCTGTTTGGAATTTAGAGAAGCAAGTAATTTTTCGTTTAGTCAATAAACTGTGTCAGGGTAACACTTTGTAATTCTATCAGCTTTTCAGCTCTTCGTCTAACTCGCAAGTTTCTACAAATTTTCTGTTCACGTACTGAGAGACAGATGACATTTCGCCGGAATTTCGCAGATGGATATTTCTTACTGGTGATTTTAAACGAATGTACTTATCAGCTAGTGATGCAATAGACAAGAGTTTATTCTCCTCAATTCGTAGCTACGGGAACATAAGAAATAAGGATTATTATACTTACGCACTGCTCGAAATTAGTTTACCTATGATCAGCATTTTCTATTCGGCCATCCAAATTTGACACCCGATAATAATTTTGATTTTTGAAGTACAAACGATATGAATGTCGGACCAATCGAGTTCTAAAAAAGAAAACGGTAAAATATAACTGAATGCAAATAACACAAAATATAAAGAACTGCTAAGATGTTTTGCAAAGTAGGAACAACGCTTACAGAACTATTTCAGGCAACACAAACGAGTTACTTTTACGTTATGATTTCGGTGCGCTAAAGATTTTTTAAATACATTTATACAGCCCCGTAGGTATACCCTTACTCATATACCCTTAGGTATACCCTTACTCATATATGCAACTGCAAAATTATCAATCACTCGCAAACTAGAGAAAATCTGGAATAAGCGGTTTAAAATATCAAATTTACTAGTGGCGTTTTTGCCTTGTTGTGTCTAGGCACATTTTCTAGATTGCATGTTTTTGAGATTTGGCGTGACAATTTCGGTACGCATTCACAAAAAGTTCAAAATTTGATGGGTACGATAGCAAATGATATTGAATATGAGGGGTTTGAGCCAGATCGGTATGAGTTGCAAAAATTTATTAATTACGCTTGTAAAAAATTTGCATTGTTTTGGCAAAGATCCAAACGCCAAAAATGAGCAGTTTTGAAAAATCATTATAATTGGCTCGAAAAGAAAGAAATCATTTCATTAAAATGTCAACCAACAGTTTCCACCAATTCAAATCGTAGCGTCCGAAAATAGATTTTGTTGAGTCTTCAAAAAGACTACGCGTCGGCGAACATATCGGGATAAAATTTTTACCCTAAGGTCAGTTTCGGCTATTTTTCTATTGTTTCTTTAATGTTTATTTTTTTTTATAAAAATACAACTCACTATCTAACAAAAACCATATAAGTCCAAATTTCAAACTTTGTAAAAAAATAGAAAAATTTAACAAAATTTTGAAACACAAATAAGAACTTTTAGAAAAAATCTAGAAACCTTTAGGAAAAAGTTATGTATGCAGTTTTATAGCCCACGGAATTCTAGCTCAAGAAATGAATCATAAATCTGTAAAGTTTGTGCAAAGTTTCAGATCGAGCACTTTAATTTGATGTAAAATTTGTCTCTGTGCGATTTGTAGATCGCTGGGAATAAGCGCCTTGTTTCATAATAATATATATAAATTAGGGGGTATTTAACGTGGTGTACATTTTTTTTTTGTTTAAGCCATTAATACCTAATAACCAAACAAATAATATATATATATATTTTTTTAAATGACGTTTATTTAAAATTTGTTTTCAAAAAGGTTATACTGTATACCTCGCGTAAAAGGTATTTAAATTATCTTTAAATTACTATCAATACGTTTGTGATCGGTCAAATAATTTCCGAGATATTATCTATATATAAATACGCCACAAAAAAATTTTACAATCCCTCTTTTGAAGGCACCGTTCGCTCGATTTCAATGAAACCGAATGAATGAAATACACCGACTTTAAGGATATAACTTCTTCTAATCCAGAAATGTTAATCCCGATACATAGGGGGCGTGGCATCTGACATATAAACTAAAATGTGAAAACCACTATATCTCTAAAACCAATTACGCTGGGGAACTGAAACTTAGCACAGGTGCATAGATTGTAAATACCGTACTTACGGTGAAAAGTGGTAGGTACTGGAAAAGTGGGCGTGGCACTTCTCATACAAACTAAAATTCTCATATCGCTTATCTCTGGAACCACTTATGCTAACGTCCTGAAATTGGACACAGCAACATATGTTGGCAATACCGTACTTACGGCGAAAAGTGGTACAGTTTGGAAAAGGGAGCGTGGCACCGCCCATACAAACTGAAATTCTCATATCGCTTATCTCTGGAACCACTTATGCTTACGTCTTGAAATATGAGACAGCTATTTATGATATCATTAACGTACTTATGGCGAAAAGTGTTAGATAATGGGAAAGGGGGCATGGCACCGACCTTACAAACTGAAATTCTTATATCGCTTATCTCTGGAACTGCTTATGCTAATGTCCTGAAATGGCTTATGGCGAAAAGTGTGAGATAATGGGAAAGGGGACGTGGCACCGCCCATACAAACTGAAATTCTTATATCGCTTATCTCTGGAACCGCTTATGCTAACGTCCTGAAATTTAACACAGCTATTTATGATATCATTCACATACTTATGGCGAAAAGTGGTAGATAACGGGAAAGGTGGCGCAGGGATTGAGAGCTATCCTAAAAAATTATATTTATGATCAGTAGGGAAGACAAAAATATGCACAAAAAACTTAATTATATGATGATTAAAATGACTCCAAAATATTAAAAATATGCTTGATATATGCCCCAAAGATGTACCTATATAACGAAAAATTTTTCGATTATCGCATAAAAAGTTTTTGCACATACATATGTACTGAAAATTAACGCGCTACGTCACAAGACTTTGTTCGACAGAATTTGAAAGATGACAATTATCCAGGTGAAAATATTGCAATATTTTATTGAAAATATTGCAACATTTTATAGATGCAGATTAAAACTCCCTGCTCAGTTCGCAACACACCTGGAAACTGTAAAACAGCTTTCGCTAAAAACGAATAATTTTTATTGAATTTTTCAACCACCAAAACCGGTTAAGCGCGAAACTTAGCTATTGGAAAACAACAGTCGAAATATTTTTACGAGTATATTAAAATTGTTTACTAGAAGAAAATAACGGGACTTTCCGTTGTTCGTCAGCTTTTTCTTTTTGTCAATTAAACAAACCTTATCAGCAATCCTGGCTATCCGCAACGGTATTGTGAAATGAAATTATGCGAAAATTAATTAACTTGCTACCAAAATAATCATTTTTATGCATTTTCGCCAAAATATGCATTTTGTGTCATAATATGCATTTGCATATGCGATATGCATTTGCATATTTTTGTCTTCCCTAATGATCAGATTTATTTCACATGAAAACATCCACTTCGGTTGACCTACACTTTACACAAGACCAGCGAAGGCCCTTACCATTAATAACGTCCAGAATTCTTCCCGTCAAACCAGCACATTTCAGATGGTAAATACCATCACACAGCCAGCACGATAAGTAGCGTTCAGAATCGCTTTTAATTTGGCAAGTATCAAGATCGCACTTCATATTGAAAGATTTATGTAATA